CCTACCACCGCTACATTGCCATCTGCAAATCCCTGCACTATGGGACCCTCCTGGGCCACAGAGCTTGTGTCCACATGGCCACAGCTGCCTGGGCCACTGGGTTTCTCAACTCTCTCCTTCACACGGCCACTACATTTTCACTGCCACTCTGCCAAGGCAATGCTGTGGACCAGTTCTTCTGTGAAGTCCCCCAGATCCTCAAGCTCTCCTGCTCACACTCCTATCTCAGGGAAGTTGGGCTTCTTGTGGTTAGTGTCTCTTTAGGATCTGGGTGTTTTGTGTTCATTGTGTTGTCCTATATTGAGATCGTCAGGGCCGTGCTGAGGATCCCCTCTGAGCAGGGACGGCACAAAGCCTTTTCCACGTGCCTCCCTCACCTGGCCGTGGTCTCCTTGTTTATCAGCACCTACATCTTTGTCATCTTTGCCTACCTGAAACCCCCCTTCATCTCTTCTCCATCCCTGGACCTTGTGATGGCAGTTCTGTACTAGTTGGTGCCTCCAGCAGTGAATCCTCTCATCTATAGCATGAGGAACCAGGAGCTCAAGGATGCCTTGAGAAAACTAATGACTGGATACTTTTCCAAAGAAATAAACCGCCCATCTTCTCCCCATCACAAATGATATATCTCGTGACAGGTCTAGTCTCTGTTTTGTAGGTTTTGTAGTGGTTGTTTTTTTGTTTTTGGGGGGGGTTTTTGGGTGTTTTTCGGAAATGAGGAGATTTGGTTCGCTTTGTTGTATTTAATTGTGATAATATTGCCCAGAAAGAAACGTCGTTATTGATCCCACTTCCAATTCAGTGTCCACCCTTACGGATTGATTCACAGTCTGTGTAAATTTGAAGGCATTCTCTCCGGGTATTTCCACATAATAAAGGACCCTGCAGTGACTGGTTTGCCTGAGCGCCTTCTGCTGAGACCTTTGTGGAACCGAAGGCAAAGTGCCTGGGTGCAGGGGTAGAGGGAAGAAGAGTCCCAGCGCAGCAGCACTGCCAGGGAGCATCAGCCTTGTTCTTTCCAGAGCTGTTCACTTTCCACCTCCCCACTCTCCTCCTGAGCCCTGTGTTGGTGTGAGGCCTGAGTCACCTTGAGGCTCAGTCATGGACCTGCTGTGTGACAATCCTGTGACCGCAGGCAGGGACAGGCAATGGGCACTTCTGTGACAGAGCTGGCCTCCATAGCAGCAGTTCCTCACGCAAGGTGACATGCAGTGCCTGAAGGCTTCGGTCTTCTTCCAGAGTCGTCCTTTGGTCTTTTTCCAGAGTCGTCCTCAAGAACATTCCGAAGGAATAGTGTCTGAAGAGGCTCGTTCTTTTCCTTGTTGCTTTGTGGGCTCAGTGTGATGAGATCAGGGTCCCAGGATGGCTTTCTAGGGCCTTAGGGCTGGTTCTGGTTTTGCTTTTTGGTGGTTAGAGCCCACACAGATGGTGAAAGGTCTCACAGTGACCTGCCTGGTGCTCTACAGCATGTGTGAGCACTGATGGCAGATGAGTGTTTTTCTGGAGGGCCTTGGGAGGTGCCAGAAGAGCACAGAGGATCTGCAGGGACAGGTTGTGTGAGGCAGTCTGCGGTAAAGGGAGCCCGCCTCGGTTGAGCCTGTCCATCCTGGAGTCACCCAGAGATAATATGCTAATTCTGGATGTTGACCAGCAAAGGAGAGCTCTGCAGCGACAGCGGGCACAGCAGGCACAGGGAAAAGAGTCTGGAGAATCCCTAAATCTGGGGACTTTCATTGACTGGACCCGGTGCAGGGATGAGGAGCTCACCTTCGGCTCCCTTGGCAAGTTGAGGGGAGCTCTTGAGCTCTCTCCTCTAGTTCACCCTGCCTTGAGCCGGAGAGGTGGACAAGACAATGTTCAAGTCTCTTCCAACCTGAGTTCTTCTGCCATGCAATGAGTCTTTCTCTTGGACAGTTCATTGAAGTCAGAAGAGGCAGAGGAAGGAGAAAAGAGGGAGAGGCAGAAAGAGGGACATAAAATGTGCCAGTCTAAATACAGTAGTTCTTCTGAGCGATGGTTCTGCCTTTGAATAATTGGGAAGAAAATGTATGTTGGTAAGTGGCTGCATAAAACTGTTCACACAGCGGGAGGGAGCGTGATCAGCGTGCCAGTACACGCCCTTGCTGCTGGTAGTAGAAAACTTTTTGAAAGGTCATGACCATTCATGAAAAGCTAGCCATGCTGGAAAGGAAGACTTTTTCAGCTTTTGCATTGAGTTCTTTTCTGCAGAGGTTTCACATTGTTCCTAAAAATCAACATCCAGGGCCAGGTTCCGTTACTGACACAGAGGTGGCCCCTGCCCTATGTAGCTGAGGAACCCACGTGGGGAATCAGAGAATTGTTCAGTTTGGAAAACACCTTGAAGATCATTGAGTCCAACCCTTGACCCAGCACTGCCAAGTCCACCACTGAACCGTGTCCCTGAGGCTTTGAAATCCCTCCAGGGATGGTGACTCAACCTTCCCTGGGTGGCCTGTTCCAAAGCTTAACAACCCTTTTAGTGAAGGAGTTTTCCTAATATCCAATCTAGACCTGCCCTGGTACAACTTGAGACCATTTCCTCCTTTCCTATCCCTTGTTACTTTTGAGAAGAGACTGACACACACCTACAATGTCCTTTCAAGTAGTTGTAGAGCGCGACAAGACCTCCCCTCGGTCGCCTGTTGTCCAGGCTAAACAACCCCAGTTCCCTTAGCTCCTCCTTGTAAGACTTGTGCTCTAGACCTTTCACCAGCTTCGTTGTCCTTTGGACACGCTCCAGCATCTCAATGTCTTTTTTGTAGTGAAGGGCCCAAAACTGAACACGGTATTCGAGGTGTGGCCTCACCAGTGCTGAGTACAGGGAGACAACCACTCCCCTAGTCTTCCTTGCCACACTCTTTCTGGATGTTCTTCATCTTCTTGGCCACCTGAGCACACTGCTGGCTCATATTCAGCCGGCTGTCAACCAACAGCCCCACGTCCTTTTTTGCCAGGCACTTTTCCAACCACTCTTCTCCCAGCCTGTAGTGTTGCATGGATTTATTGTGGTGACCCAAGTGCAGGACCTGACACTTCGTCTTGTTGACCCTCATACAACTGGCCTCAGTCGATCAGCCTGTACACGCTTAATCTTGTTTAACCACTTTTAAGTCAGCTCAGCTCAAGCCATATGTCTGTAAGTTGCACAGCCCTTGTGTAAGATAAGCAGGAGGCAAGATAAAGAACAGGGACGGTCCTGATTACTCCGCAGAGAACAGTCATGATGACTTCACTGGTTTTCAGGGAGGTGAAAAGGTCATCACAAGGAAGACATACAGCATTCATCCCTGAGACCCTTACGCACCACCACCAGGAGACACTGCTCCCGCGCAACTGGGGGAGAGTTAGGGGTGGAGACTATGGAAATGACTTCTCGGAACTCATTGTAATAAGACTGCCTTTTCTCGGAAATAATTAAGAATATATATGAGTAAAAGAAATATAAACCAGAAACAGGAACTGTACGGTGTGCGTCTTGGTGGAGCAGAGACTCCCGGTGCACCCAGCGCTGTTTGCTTGCCTCTATTTGC